TATTGGAAGCACTGTTTGTTAATACGTTCACGTTTCTCTTACTTCTCCCAAAGTGTTTCTCTGATGACGTAGCTCCGGACATGTTAGAAGTCGTCTATTTCACGTATGTGATGAAAGGAGTATTATTAAACGGCATTATTGACACTTTTAGAAGCAAAGTTAAAGAAGCGTCCTATAAGGAGATGAATAATATTATCAGTACTGGAATTACTGAAATAGCCGAGATTGTGGCAGACGAAGTTATGACTAAAGATGACATTATTTGTATGTTAGGAATACGTGATTTAGGCACAACATTCTCAAGTGCCGCGAAGACTTCACTGCTGGCAGTGTTCCGTGAAGTGTTCGGCTTAGAATGCATACATAAAATTGCAAAAAGCATTCCAGAAAACGAGAAGGAAGAACCCTTAAAAGTTGCAGGGCGACTCATCACCGGAATTGACGTGGATGTGGTAACTGATATAGTTATTTTCGGATTTATGCAAGTCGTTAAAAACTCTCACGAGACAAGGATGAAATTGCTACAAACATTGGCCAAAGCACGGAAGCGACAGTTGCTGAGCTTACAGCACGCGATTATGGTGGGAGCATTATTGTTACCTCGAGTTGCTGACATAGAAATTGGTATGAAGTCGATAGAGTTTGACATGGAAAATAACAGACTGCGGCTTGGGCAAGAATTATGCAGTGGGCGACATAGCAGGCTGTATGATTACACCGGTGGGTGGCATATTCCGACGGACAACCCCGGTGGGTATATAATTAGGGTAATGAAGCGAGAAAGTGGGCCAGCATGGAACGATACTGTAGTGAGCCTATACCATAACTCGTAAGTAATTGTATTCTTAATGAAAACTAATAGTTGTTAAGATTGACTTGGAAAAGGGTCGTTTCGAGAGAGTATTTTTTCATAATCCCCGACTCAAGTTTCAAACTTAGACTCATGAATGAGTTTTATTATTAAGTTGTATGCTAATTATGTTTTGTATATCTCTCTTCAGATCGCTCAAACAAAACGACAGTTTACTTGCTGTAGTTGGTTGGTGGATGCCAGACGCCGACACACTATATATTTTAATGCCGAAGATGGAGCAAAGTTTGGACAAAACAGAGTTGTCGCCTGAACAAATAGTTCAAGTAGTCTTGGATATAGCGAAGGGGGTACACGCAATTCACGATAGTGGCTTCTCATATAACAATCTTAAAGCGAAGAATATATTGGTAAATAATATTAGGTTTATTACACATAATTTACCATTAATGTATCA